TGTGATGTTGGTGGAGATTCCATTGTCTAGAGACGGGCCGGGAACTGTTCCTTCTCCGACTTGAAGAAGCCAGTTTGCAAACGCGGTTTGTTCCTCGATGTCGGGAGCGTTGGCATTTCTGAGAAGGCGCATGTTGACGGAAAGATGGAAGGTGTTGGATGTGTTGCCAGAGTGGAGATCGTTTAAAGCAGGCTCCAATGGTTTCCTCTCTGCGTCCTTGCTTGACAACTGGAGGAATCTGCCTAAAGTCGCCGCCAAAGACCATGAGCTTTCCTCCAAAGGGACGGTGTTCGTTCTCAGGGTCCACAGTCTTCATTAGGTCTTGAGAGTGCGGTCTACAGCCTCGAAGATATGCCGATGTGTCATAGGAGCTTCGTCCCAGACAACGATCTTGGCCTGGATGAGAAGATCTGCAACTTCTGACCTGTGATTGACTGAACAAACACTGTCCTCGTGGGTAGGGACGGGAATCTTAAAGCGCGAGTGAGCGGTTCTTCCGCCTTGTAGAAGTAATGCGGCAATTCCAGATCCGGCGACGGCAAGAGCGATATCGTGATTTGACCGGACCATAGATAGGATAAGGGAGTAAAGGAAGGTCTTCCCTGTGCCTGCGGGACCATCGATGAAGTACGTCTCGGAAGTGTTCATCTCATAGGAGCGCTTGATTCGGTCGTATGCTTCCCTCTGATTCCCATTGAGTGACTGCTCCATCACGGCGAACTCTTCTGGGCTGGGCAAAGGGTAACTCAACTCGTCTGCAATAAATGCATTTACGTTTGGACCATGCTGCTCCAGTATGACGGGCTCGGGCATGCCTTCATAGTCGTGGAGAGTCTTGCCGAGGTTTCTCAGGAGGACTTGTAAGTGGATCAGCGCAGCATTTGCACGCTGGTCTGCAAAGGATATCCGCTGCTCAGGACTGGTAGCGTCACATTCCCTTGGACGGAGATCATCAGACAGTGCATCGCGAAAGGTGGTCCAAAGCTGAGCAGGATTTGTCGGGTTGCAAAAGGCAAGGATCTTTGCAAAAAGAGAGCGGAGTTGGTATCCCGTTTGACTGACAGCGGCATCCCGAAGACAGTTCTCCCATTCGCGATCGTCTTGAAGCATGCCAAGGGCGATGCAAGCGGCCTTGAACGTAGGGTGGACCTCGTTTTCGACTGTTCTCAGGTCCTCAAACGATATAGGACTTGGCACCGAGAGCAGTAACAACCGCAAATAAAACAGATCGCCTGCGGTATCATGCACAAAAAAGAGTCGGCCGACTGTACATCCTCTCTCCCTGAGCTTCCATCGCTTCTCGCTCTTGAGGTAAACGTGGGTTTGAGGAAAGTTGTGGTACTTTGAAGGCGGCTCATCAGGATGGTGACGGTTATAGTCGAAGAATGCTGTCAGCGTACTGCGCTCCATTGCGGCTCTCTCTAGGACATCAGCGATGGGTTCGTCCGAGCGGAAGGCATGCATGAACTGACCGGGGAGATGCAAATGCAACCTGGTGACGGATGGATAGGCACTGTGTAGGCGAAATCCAAATATGCGCCAAGCAGACTCGGAAGCAGAGACGTAGCGACCGTCGATGAAATCAATGATCTCATTGGCTTCTTGCACAGGAAGATCACCGGCGACCTGAGTTCCGTCTTGTGCCGGCTGTTGGACCACAACAGTGGCTCGATCATGGCCCTTGTAGACGTACTTGTACAGATACTTGACGGCAGTGGAAGAGGTGCAGCTTTCGACATTAATGTGGGCGCCGTACTTTGCGGCCAGATAGGGGTTATGCGGAACGACCCAACGGTTGTCAATCTCGAAATCTCCCCGGCCATCGATCCTGATCGTCCTTCCATCCATGCGGCGCCGGTACTGCGGATATCCATTTGGTCCGTTTGTAGTGTTCGCGAGGAAGGGCTTGGGATAGCCTTTGGTACACACACCGTTCTCCATGCATGGGGAGTTCCTATTTGCCGGTCCACATGGGCCATGGATCATTGTTCTCTTGACGGTCTCGTAGGCAGCTGGGTGCGTTTCAGGATCGGGAATCTCAGCAGATATGTATTTGTCGTAGTCTGCAGGCAATCCAGGCTTGTGCTCAGGGCTCATGATGAGCAGAATGTGTGCGTGGGGTAGTCCACGCTTCTGGAACTCAATAACATGAATCATGCCGACAACCTTTCCAAGGACTTGCTTTTTCAACAGATCATGTAGGAGTTCCTTCAGCTTGATGTGAAAGACGCGTGTCGTCAGGTCCGGGCGGTCAGCCGCTGTCTGGTTTGGGAAAAGTTCTGACGTGATTTCGGGCCACTTGGGGTTACAGGTAAAAGTGACGAAATAATCCGGTGTCGATTCGAAGGCACGGACAATGGCCATTGCATCTTGGTACAGCTGCTGCATGTATCGGGGTCCGCTGACATAACTTGAAGGGAGGACGACCCGTCTTCCAACGGCAGCGGCGTCGACATCCCCAGCATTGACCGCATCCTGTAAGCCTGTGGAGATATCATGTCCAAAAAAATAAATAATAATAATAATAATTAGAATTCTGAGAATGATCAATGCACCCTCAACATCTCAAAAATGGTTCCCTTGATTACCTGAGTAGAGCTCAATACGAAGGGTCTGCTGATTATGCTTTAGAAAATTGAGGCGATTCATGTCCATGGTGCAAAACATGTCAACCATCAATTGCTGAAAGAGGCGTCTTGAACGGAACATGTACTCGCTGCTATCGCCAATGCGGTATTGGAGGCGATAGGCGAAGAAATCCATCATGGTGATCCTGTGAGTATAGTTTCCCGGAGCATGCTCCTCATCGCCTTCACCCTCGTCGTCTTCACCTTCGCCCTCATTGTTGAGACCCATTGCAGCTTGAGGATCAGCGTCGCCTAGGTGATTGTCGAGGATTTCATCATTATCGCCCTGGTCGATCTGCTCCTCGAGGTCGTTCTCGACGTCATCGTCGTCGTTGTCGCCAAGGTCCATATTGTCGTTGTTGTTGTCGTTGTCGTTGTTGTTGCCGTTGTTGTCAATGTCCATCTCATTAGCATTGGCTTGATCCAATAGTGGCTGTAGATTATGAGGTGGAACTGGATGTCGATAAGCAAGTTGTGGATCTAGGACATGCTGCAAGACATCTTCCGGAGGTTGAGGGTTGTTTCGAGTGAGTCCTAGGTGATATCCATCCTCCCCACGTAGAAACAACAGCGGGTAACAGAGAGGAAAGTATGACTGGTGCAGTGCTGAGACCTGATGAAGGCGGTTGTTGTGAAGCTGGATGATTATATCCCGATTCCCAGGTGCATCTGTTGCATCGCCAGGAAGAATGGCGGCGAATTCATCGGCGGTGGGTCGATTGTAGCGTCTCGCGTCACCCGCCCTCTGACAAACGATCTTTAAGCCCAGAACCGGTGCATCGTCCGCTCGAATACGCTGTCCGATGGTCTTGAACCTCTTGGCGTACGGATTGTGCCTGTACATGAGGCGATGAAGGATGCGGATAATCCTTCTGTCCTTGTCTCGGTCTCGTGCTTGCACACCATCCCCGCCGTTTGGAAGAGCCTGGTTCCTTGACCCATAGATGAAATCCAAGCGTCGATCGACTTCAGCGTCCTGGTCCGAGTCGTGAAAATAAATCTGGGCAAACTGAGGTTGTTGGGCGTTTGGTGGGAGAATACCGCCGATCTTGTGGTAAAGCTGGCCCTTGACTTGAAAGGTATTTGGGCCTCTGCCAGGCGGTCGCCGCATGTCACGGTACTTTGTACTGGTGCCAAAGGATGCAAAAGCAAAGGCATTGTTGAAGGTCCGTGTGTTTGCCAGAAATCGCTTGGAGAGAGGGGTATCGCCTCTAAACAGTTCTTGTAATTCGGCAGGGGGAGCTTCAATAGTCGGCATTTTGACTCTTCCTTGGAGGCAACACATAGAGAAACGCGGAGTTACGACCGCACATCCGACGCGTTCCTGGATATATTCAGAAGATAGAAAAAAAAGTTAGGAATCTAAAAAAAATGCAGAAGATGTTTTAAAAAAAATGACTGATATTATATTGTTACCTCTCTCCAATGTAAGGCGCCACAGTGAGAGCAAACGACGTTCATCCGATCCAGGGCCTTGTATTCTGTATCATCTTGTTCCTTGCAAGCAGCCATTCCATTTCCGAACACACGTACAGCAGGAGCATCAGGAATAGCAGGAGCGGCGGCAGGAGCGGCAGGAATAACAGGAATAGCAGGAATAGCAGCAGCGGCAGAGACTATAGGAGCAGCAGGAGTGGCAGGAACAGTATGGGCAGCAGGAGCAATAGGAGCAGCAATGAGCAGGTATCGTCGATTCATAGGACAATCCTTGTGACTTTTGCGACTATGGCCAAGCCGTCCGCAAGATTGACACTTTAGAGCAGAATGAGGAGTAGCAGCGATAGGAGTAATTGAGGCAGCCGGAGAAATGGAAATAGCATGCCTGCGAGAGCCTTCCGCAGCTTCTTGATTGATTCGATCTTCTTGTCGTCGGCGTTCCATATCTCTTTGGGCGTCTTGGGCTATATCACTTGGGATAGTTATGGAGTTTGATGGTCTGTCCCTCCCCATAAACAAAAGAAAACGATAGAAAAGGTCACATTTCTTTAACAACAGGAGCGGTTACACTTTATAACCTTTTCATTCTCATTTGCTCATACCTTTTTTTGTAGAGGCGGCATTTCGTTGAGGTATTTCGAGAATGTCCTGGTTGCTTGCAGCTTGCGCATAAACGCATAACATTGGTGGCCGATAACATTTTGGAAATGTGAGGTGTTTAAGTGTCTGTTGATAGGGAATGAAAGGAAAAATGATGTTGGAGCGCGCGTAGATTGAGACAGCTTATTATATGTTTATTACAACAGGCTCTAAAAGAGATACCATCCTCTTTCTCTTCTCTTTCGCCTTTATGTTTATCCATCCCATCGTTTTTTTCTCCATTTCTCCTTTATTTTCTAGGCTGGACATGCTCTCTGGTTGATGGTTGATGGTTGATTAGATGGGCCGGTTCAAGAAACTATAAAGACCAATAATGTATAGGTTCGTGTAGCCTTGAAGGCCTTTAGCCGCCTGCTCTATGCTCTATTTCCTTTATGAGTTGTTCAAATGAATAAAATAACTGAAAAAAAATAGCCCGGAGCTTCATCATTTTTTTAATGTTTTATTTTTATTAATATTTATGGGAATTAGTTCTGTAATACAGCTGAAAGTAATAGTTGTGATGAACAGGTGGGACATACAATGGCCATGCATCCAGAAGCAGTATCCATGGTGGAGGGCATTGGAGAGGTCCACTCGGGCAACAAAGTGCTTGAAGTGCTTGCATGACTGGAAGAGGAGCTTTGTGTTGATATGACTTGTGTTAATGGCCTCTGCAGATCATCCTCGCTTTCATCGTCGAGTTGGATTGACTCCGAACTGGAAACGCTTTTCCAACCTGGGCGCCGCCTTATGAGCGGCTCATCCTCGCTATTGCTATCCTCATAATCATCCACCACAATGGTAGACTGACTTGTTGTGTTTGGATCCTGATCCTGAACGACCTCAGCGAATGCAGCGAGGTCATCGTCGTTGTCGTCTATGATCGATTCGTCCTCGCTATCATTAACATCCACCACAATGGTAGACTGACTTGTCGTGTTTGGATCCTGATCCTGATCGACCTCAGCAAGTGCAGCGAGGATGTCGTCGTCTGAGATGGTGTCAAAGATGGCTTCATAGTAGTTGACGCTGTAGGAATAATGCTTTTGAGTATTGTTGATCCTTGCACTTGTCGTTTGCTTCCCTTTATAGTATGGGCAGCGTCGACTCGTCGATCTTTGGTGGTCGGTTCCACGACACTTGGAACACCTGCTGATGGAGGAAGACGGGGAGGAAGAAGAGGGAGAGGAGGAAGAGTAAGGAGTAATGGCCTTGGGTTTGGGTTTAGTGTTATTGATGGTGCGGCGCTTGATGGAGCGCTTGGTGTGTTTGGTAGGAAGAGAGTAGGGAGCGAAGGAAACAGAGGGAGCGGTAGCAGTAGAGCTGGTGGCAGTGTGCCGGGCGGAAAGGGGAGAGAACGTGACCGACTTGGTCATCTGCGACCTTGTTGAATTCATTGCCTTGGTTCGTTTATATCCTGTAAAGGTCGCAGGGGGAGAGACATTGGAGGTGGATGTTGAAGTAAGAGCGACACGGCGAGAGCGAGTGGAAGGCATGCTGGCTACTGACAGATTAAAAAAAAAAAAAAAAAAAAAAAAAAGAGAGAGGTAAGGAAAGGAAAGGAAAGGAAAGGAAATATTCTTGTCCGAAAAAAAGAGAAAGAAAAAGCCATCGGCTCTACTCTCTACATTCTCCATTTCCGCATTTTTAACATGCTTACCGGCAGATCAGTTTACCGGTATGGCTCTCATTCCGCATTTTAACATGCTTACCGGAAGATCTGCTTACCGGTAGATCTGCTTACCGGTATGGCTCTCATCGCATCCCACATCCATCTATCATTTTCTCATTTTTAATTAACTTTCATTTTAATTAACTTTAAGCTAAAAAAAAAAACGCACACAACACACACAAACACTTACACACACACTACATATACACCATACACACCATACACACACCACAACACCATGAGAAAGAGAAAGAGGGAACATCACATGATTTACGATAAGTCAGGTGATGGAGATAACGATTTTGTATTAGTAGATACGCGCTAAACCCATGTAAACTCATGCATATAAGTCACATACAAAAGACAATAAGTAGGAACTCCAAACCTTGACACAATGTCATATAGGAATTGAGGAAGTAACTCATTAAAATGTAGAGGTAATAAGAAACTACGAAGACTCCGCAAGTTGAAAAAGGAGATCGTGATGCATGTAATCCATTTAACTGTTCAAACAGAGTTAGGCATTTCAATTCCGGCGATGATCCAATGTCGGTCCATGCAAAAAAAAAGCAAGTGATGGTGAATGGGGTTACGATTCAAGAAAATGAATGACTGGAATCTGGGGACCGGTTGAAACATTGGTGAATGAGCATTTCAAAAAAAACGGCAAAATCGTGTTTTGGTTGAACACTTTTGTGGAGCACTTTAGAAGCTGATATTGGACGAGGTGGCGAAAGCAAGTACTCCAAGTACACGATCAAGAGCTATGCCAAGTTTCGCCTGCTGAGTATGGATGGATGCTGGGGCCGTAATGTCAAGTTTATCCTGATGATGTTTAATGGGATCCAGAAATCTGTTATTTTTAGTTATTAGATGCGCCTTGCCTCCACCATGACTGCACTTTACTAGCAACATGAGTGTACATACAAGGAAAAATGAGATGTGTATACATTTTTATTTTTTTGCTCTGCTAATTGCGGGCATCGTGTCTTATGGTGGGAAGAGCGAATGAAAGTATAGATGATGATCAGTGTTTCTCAGAAATTATTCGCACCCTTTATTTGCCTGCAAAATGCGGATCGAATCGAAGTAGCATTCGCATTCGCATTATGTAAAACCAATGTAAAATCTATTTATTCGCATTCGCATTTGAGAAACATTAATGATGATGAAGCGAAGGGTGAAAGAAGGGAGATGAAAGTGGAGTGCATGTGAACGATCTCTTTTTTGACAAAAATGTTCAATGTGACGTCAGTTTATTTCAAGCGGGTTTTCTCGCATTAGGTTTTTCTAATGTCAATGACTAGTGTTTCTCAAGAACATAGTGCATTCGCATTCGCATTGTAATAGCAACAGAAGAAGGGTGATAGACAAGAGCAGGAGGCAGAAACGGATGGTGTTTATTGTACAGGGGAGCCAGGGTATTTATGTGTGCTAGGCTATGGGCTCCAGGATGGTGGTGATGTGGTGAGGTGGTGATGTGGTTAGATGGGGATGTAATTAGGTGTTAATGTGGTTAGATGAGACAGTGGTTAGATGACGCTAATGATCTAGGGTCACAACAGATTATAATACTGTGACACCTTCCCCTAATAAATAAAGCAGATCGTGTGTTTGACAGTATGTGCGAAGAATATCCGGACTATTGGCCATGTCCTTGAAGGGAACCCAGGTGGAGTCCTTGGCTGCATCGTATCCGAGCCATTTGACAAGAAACTCGATCTTGCGGCGCTTTGTGCGGTGGTCCAAGATGGCTTCAACCTCGTACTCAATTTCTCCATCAACAATTTCAGGGTCGGGTGGAGGTGCTACCCGACGGCCCAACGACTCCGGGGAGGGGAGGTATGGTTTGAGGCGGTCGACATGGAACACATCATGAATGCGCATGGTGGGAGGAAGCTCGACCTGGAAGGAGACCGGCGAACGTTGTGCCAGCAGGGTGAAGGGACCAAAGTAACGGGCCTGAAGGGAGGAGGCTGGTCGGCTGGAGTCGTAGGCTGTTGTGATGTTCTCGGTGCTAAGAAGGACTTGATCGCCGACTTGGTAAGAGTGGGAACGACGGTGAGCATCGGCATGCTTGGCCTGTACGGCTTGTGCGGTAAGGAGACTATCGCGGGCAGTAGCGAGGGCTGATTGCTGAGCATAGACAAACGAGTCAAAGTCCGACAAGGAAGCAGGGTCAGAGACACCCGTGGGTCCGAGGAGAGAGGCCGGTACTCGAGGATGGAAACCATGGTTCAGAAAAAATGGCGAGACGCCTGTGGACGAGTGGACCGCATTGTTGTATGCGAACTCGGCGGCAGGTAGGTACAGGTCCCAGTCGTCTTGTTTGTGATTCACCAGGGCGCGCAGCATGGTCTTGAGGGTTTGAATGGCCCTTTCCGACTGGCCGTCCGTCTGTGGGTGGAAGGAGGAGGACATGGCAAGCTTGGTGCCTAAGCGTTCCTGTAGTCGACGCCAAAAAGTGCTGGTGAATTTTGTATCTCTGTCGGAGACGATGGTGAGGGGGAGACCATGGAGGCGAAAGATGTTGGAGAAGAAACAATTGGCAACATCGGTGGCGGTGTCTGTGGTGCGACTTGGGGCGAAGTGCACTTGTTTTGAGACCTTGTCTACAAAGACGGTAATGGATCGTGCTTTCGGGCGGTCATAGGTAACTTGACGACAAAATCCATGGTAACGGTATCCCAGCGCTGCTCAGGAACTTCCAAGGGATGGAGCAGACCGGCAGGAAGGCGACGAACAGCCTTGTTTCGCTGGCAGCTTGAGCAAGAAGCCACGTAGTTACGGACATCAACAGACATCTTGGGCCAGTAGGCCAGGCGGCGTAAGGTAGTGTACGTTTTATCGAACCCCAGGTGGCCAGCAATGGCAGCATCATAAACATTATGAAGAAGAAGAAGGCGTAGGTCAGAGAACTTTGGTATGCAGAGTAGGGTATCACCATGCCGCTCAACATACAATAAGCCATTATACAATGAGTAAAGGGATGGTGACTTGCCTCGGAGGCAGCTTTGATAGATAGGGCCAAGACGAGGATCGTTTTGATACCCTTCGATCAGGCGCTGCCTCAAACCTGTGTCCGCTTGAAGGTCAAGTGCATTGACTGAGAGGGGTGGGGGGTTTGGTACGCGGTGGTCCGGACGCCGAGAGAGGGCATCAGGAACGACATTGTCAGCGCCACGCTTGAACTTGAAATCAAAGTCATACTCTTGTAGAAGCTCCATCCAACGTGCTTGTCTTCGAGTGAGCTTGGGTTGCGTGGGGAAATGACGGAGCGTATCATGATCGGTATACACAATAAAATGGGAGCCGTCAAGGTAATACCGCCAGGTCTTGAGTGCGTGGACCACAGCGAGGAGCTCTTGCTCATGAGTTGGGTAATTCCGTTCTGCAGAATTCATCTTTCGCGAGGTGAAGGCCACGGGTCGTGCAAACCCATCAGCGTCTATCTGGAAGAGGACCGCGCCAACAGCATAACCCGATGCATCGGTCTCGACGATCGAGGGTAGGTCTGGGTCAAAGACGCGTAATACTGGGGCAGAGCTGATGGCATCCTTGAGTGCACGAAAAGCGGACTCGGTGGCATCATCCCAGACAAACTGGCGACCTTCACCTAGTAGAGACGTGAGGGGAAGAGCGATGTCAGCAAAATTGTGGATATACTGCTGGTAGAACTGAGCTAACCCAATGAACTGTTGAACGTCCTTTTGTTTTGTTGGGCGAGGCCACTCTCGAATGGCGCGAACAAGACCGGCATTGGTGTGTAAACCATCCTTGGTAATGACATGACCGAGGAACTCAGTCTCTTCTTGCATAAAGGAGCACTTGCTCAACTTTGCATAGAGACCGTGCTGGCGGAGGAGAGAGAGAACACTACGAATATGACGGAGATGTTCGGCCTTGGTCTTGGAGTATATCAGAATATCGTCAAGATAGACGACCACCCACTTGTCAAGGACGGGATCAAGGACCTTGAGCATCATGTTGGAGAAGGAGGCTGGGGCGTTGGTGAGGCCAAAGGGGACGACGTTGAACTCAAAGTGCCCGTATCGACAACGGAAGGCGGTCTTATGAGTGTGAGGCTCATAGATGCGTTGTTGATGATACCCCGAGATTAAGTCCAACTTGGTAAAGTACTTTGCGCCCCGAAAACGGTCGATCAACTCGTCAATTCTAGGTAAGGGATGGCGGTTCTTTCTTGTAATGCGGTTGAGACCACGATAGTCGACACACATACGTAGAGAACCGTCGGCCTTCTTGACAAAGAGCACTGGGGCGCCGTAGGGAGAAGTGCTGGGTGAAAATTTTTACGCTAGTCACGCACAATCGAATTGATAAGACAAGAGAGGGATCTTTGTTAACAGCCCAGACACCTCCATTTATGTCGGTGTCTGGTCATATGACTAAATTACTGTCTCTAGCCTAATTACATTAGCTGACACCCCCGAGACAGGCAAATATGCGACACTGGGCTTGATGAGTTTTTTAGAGAGTAACTCATCAAGTTGCTTCTTCAATTCGTCCAACTCTGCAATAGACAAACGAATAACGGGCTTGAAAGGAGGCCTTTCAAGTCCAAATTATCATATGGTGTTTGTTACTGTCGCATATTTGCCTGTCTCGGGGGTGTCAGCTAATGTAATTAGGCTAGAGACAGTAATTTAGTCATATGACCAGACACCGACATAAATGGAGGTGTCTGGGCTGTTAACAAAGATCCCTCTCTTGTCTTATCAATTCGATTGTGCGTGACTAGCGTAAAAATTTTCATTTTTTTTGATAAATACAACACGGATCGGGATCAGAATCCGTCGAACGATTGACAGGATCCATCCACTCATTTATTTATTCATTCAACCCATTACGAGGAACACTCCATCAATCTACAGGAGCGATTCAGGACGTAACGGGAGCATTTACGGATCATTACAGAACAGGACCTTTACTGTCAGGATTTTCCTCTATTTTCAGGATAATCCAACAAGGACAGGATCCTTTTCTTTTATTTGTGGTCATTTCGTGC